CACCCAGGTGCAGGACCTTGCACTTGGCCTTGTTGAAGCTCCCCCCCTTGGCCAGGTGACGTTCACGCCAAGTTTCATGCAGGGCAGCATCTGTTCCTTGGAGGCACCAACGCTGAGTGACCCCACGCTTGGGAGAGGCACCGAGGCTGCCCCAGCTCCTCCCTTGGGTATCAGCCCTGGCCGGAGCAGGGAGCGGGATCCACCGCGCTGCAGGAACACCCGAGCTGTCGGGGGCCAGCTGGGACCAAGGAGCCGGAGCCTTCACCCTTGGGTGCTGCCGCCTGCTCCCTGGGCTGGGCTGTGAGCACCGTGAGGTCCGGGATGGCCGTTTTGGGGTGGCCATGGGGGCACCTGGAATGGTTGGTGGTAGCGAAGGGGCAGGAGCGTAGGGGAAAACACTGGAGCACGAGGCCCCGAGGGAGCTCCGCGGGGCAGGGCTGTGGTCTCGGCAGGGTTTTTTGGGATTCCCAGGGGCTTCCCACCTGCACCCCACTTCCCTGCTGCTGCTGCCCGCGCAAATCTCCCTTTGAACCAGCAGCCGCCTTTGCTGCTGCTTCTCCTTTTCGTGACTTCAACCTCCAAGTACGCGCGCATCCCCCGGCCTGACCAACCGCCCCGCGCTCCGACCCAGCCGGCTCCGAGCCCCCGAGCCCTGGCCAGCGTCAGCGCTGGATCCGGCCACGAGCCTGATCCTCTCCCAGGAGAGACGGCGGCTGCGTTGGCCCCAAAACCGCCCCCCGGCTCCTCCAGCCCCAAACCCAGCGCTGCTGGGCTGGAAACGGGAAAAATGAGAAGTTATTGGAGTGGCAGAGGGCAGGAGCCGGTGCTCCCTGAAACCCGGCCAGACCCGGGGGCTTCCCCACGTTAATTTAATTTTTGCTTCTGCTTTCTGAGCATTTCTGCCCTTCCCAGGGCACCTGGTCACGCTCCTCTCTCCCTCCAGGTTAAAAATTCAGGCAAACCTTCCCCCGATGCCACCGTTGCGGTTGCAGCGCGCGGGGCTCTGCGGCTGGGCCCCCCGCTTGGAAGGGGGGATTTAACTCCCGGGAGGTGCTGAGCAGGGATGCGGGGTCCGCAGCCCCCCCAAGCACCCCGGGGCTGGGGTACAGCCAGGGCCCCCAGGGCTGCCCCACCTCCCCAGCTCCTGAAAAATAATAAATAAAATATGGGAAGCGGAATAAAAGAAAATAAATAAAACTGAATTAAAGGAAATTAATAAATTACATAAAATGGAATAAAAGAAAATAGAATAAAAGCAAATAAATTACGTAAAACCGAATAAAAGTAAATAAGTAGAATAAAAGGAAACGGACTAAAAGAAAATAGACCAAAAGAAAATAGAATAAGTAGAGTAAAAAAAGTGTAGGAGGAAAGAGTAAAATAAAAGAAAATAGAGTAAAGCAGCGGACGAATAAAATAAAAAAGAGTAAAATAGAATTAAAAAAAAAAAGAA